AAGCTCTGCATGAAAAGCGTAAATATCACAATTACCATATATTAAACTGAAAATAAAGCAGATTTATATTTAGTTATTGTGGCAGTTGGCTGTCTCTGTGTAGTTTTTTGTTTGTGTAGCTTTTTGAAAAGATAACTTCTTTCATTTCATGAGAAAATTCTAAATTTCTGTCCTCCTACTACAGGCCTTTTCAACACATCAGTCAGTCAGAAAGTAGACCAGAAAAGGTAGTAACTAAATTACCATGGCAAATATTTTCTTTTTAAATCAGCTATCTAATGAGAACTAGTCGTATTTGCAGCATATAAAATTATTACATACTGATGACAGTGGCATGTTAGGTATAAAAAAAGGTTACTATCTTAAGTACTCACAGAGTTTTAAAACAAGCAAATTATTACCTTGTGTTTTTTCAACAAAAATATTAAAAACAGCTTCAAAAAGTGGTAGAAAAGGATATTAGAAACCTAAAATCTTACAGTCCACATGTAGCAGCTAAACAAACTCTCCTTCATAAGACTTGATCCAATGATTTTAAAGTGCCAACAACAGAAACATGGTCATTCTGGGCTGATTATGAAAAGCCCTACTCTAACAACAGGGAACACAAGATTTTTTTCTCTTCACTACAACTAAGCTTGTACTATGGACAAATCAAGATTACCAGCCCAATTTTAAGGATGAAGAAAATGTTCATAATCCACCTTCTTAAAAAGAAGGTTGATGGAAAAAATGAGACTTGTTTAGAATTTTTAATTTCTGAGGCAGGAGGACCTCTAAATTAGTTTGGTGTAATGATTATAAGCCTTCTATACCAAGAATACTTCAGACTTCAGCCTCTCTTGGCCTCATCTACATTTACAGTGAATAAGCCTTTAAGTCTTTCCAATGAATATTCAGGGTTATCTCCTTTACAATTGACTGCTTTGATCTCCTTGTAATCCAAGGGACTCCAGCACCACAGTTCAAAAGCATCAAAGCATCAATTCTTCAGCGCTTAGCCTTCTTTATGGTCTAACTGTCACATCTGTACATGACTACTAGAAAAACTATAGCTCTGACTATACGGACCTTTGTCAGCAAAGTGATGTCTGCTTTTTAATATGCTCTCTAGGTTTGTCATAGCTTTTCTTCCAAGGAGCAAATGTCTTTCAGTTTCATGGCTGCAGTCACCATCCACAGTGATTCTGGAGCCCAAGAAAATAAAGTCTGTCACTGTTTCCACTTTTTCCCTATCTATTTGCCATAAAGTGGTGGGATCAGATGCCACGATCTTAGTTTTTAAAGGCCGAGTTTTAAGCCAGCTTTCTCACTCCCCTCTTTCCCTCATCAAAAGGCTCCTCAGTCCCTCTTCGCTTTCTCCTGTTAGGGTGGCATCATCTGCATGTCTGAGGTCACTGATATTTCTCCCGACAATCTTGATTCCAGCTCATGTTTCATCCAGCCCAGCATTTCACAAGATGTACTCTGCGTAGAAGTTAAATACACAGGGTGGCAATAATACAGCCTTGGCGTATTCCTTTCCCAATTTGGGAACAGTCGGTTGTTCCATGTCTAGTTCTAATTGTTGCTTCTTGACCTGCACACAGGTTTCTCAGGAGGCAGGTCAGGTGGTCTGGTATTCCCATCTCCTTAAGAGTTTTCATGTAACAATAACCTTTGGCAGTAGACACTAGTTTTATCTCAGTTTTGACAGGGAAAACTGAGGCTTTGCATCACTTACCTGAGATCACACAGTCTGTAAGAGGCTGCTGGTTCAAAATCCAGCTGTTTGCTCACAGGAGGCTGCCACCCACTACACTATTTAATTCTAGCATCAATGAGAAAAAGTAAACCTATGGCAAGAGTTGAAAAGGAAAGTTGAGGTCTGTTCTTGATCAGTGGCTTTCCTAATTTCAACTCTTTTGCCTTGGTTGAAACTAAAACTAAACAGTAAAAACTACTGTGCATACAAGAACATCTTGTTGCTTAGAAAAAGAGACAAGCTACAAGCCACTTAATGATTGCTTATGTGATTCTAAATGAAGGGCTGCAGACCTGGTCTGAAATGTTGCTATTAATTAGACTCTGAAAATCCATCCTAAGTGGCTGGCTCAGATGGTAAAGAATCTGCCTGCAATGCGGGAGACACGGGTTCAATCACCAGGTCGGGTAGATCCTCTGGAAAAGGAAATGGCAATCCACTCCAGTATTCTTGCCTAAGAGTCCCATGGACAGAGGAACCTGGCAGGCTAACAGTCCACGGGGTCTCAAAGAGTCAGATATGACTGAGCAACCAATGCAGTGTACAGTGTACAGAGACACTGAACAGTCTAATCTAACTCAGTGACTGGGTTTTATTTTATTGGGAGGGAGAGAAGGAAGACTATGACTAACCACAGCATTTATCTTAAACTCCAAACACAAGAATGATGATCTAATTGATACTAATAGTCCAAGTCTCAAAACTGTAAACTGTCAATGAAGCATAAATTCTATGAACATTTTGTTATAATACAGTAAATATATTCAAATTCACAAAATAAAAATTCACAAATTCCCACTATGACAATTACATCAAGACTAGAGGGTATTATTAAGTGGTAAAGAATCCACCTGCCAGTGCAGGAGACACAAGGGACTTAGGTTCAATCCCTGAGTTGGGATCCCCTGGAGACAACAATAGCAACCCACTTCAGTGTTCTTGCCTGGAAAATTCCAAAGACAGAGGACCCGGGTGGGCTACACTCCACGAGGTTGCCAAGAGTTGGATGTGACTGAGCAACTGAGAACACACACATACATTACTCACATACCTGAATGTCAGATTAAAAAACAAAAAGAAGACTTTGAATGAGCCAATAAATGGCTTCATAAGAAAACACCATGGGGATCTATTCAACAGTGATGTCCATATCCTATGATATACAAAAATCTACACAATTTATGGCCCAGTACATACATGTGCTTTCTTGATATACTACATCCTAGAGAAATTATCACTCATGTACCAAAAGACACATATAGGAAATGTTAATGGTAGCATCATTTCAAATAGCACGATAAATGTCCAAGAAGAGAATGGGTAAGTCTACTGTCATATATATATATATATATGCTGGAATACTAAACAGCAGTGAAAAGTGCATGACCTACAGCAGTACTTAATAAGAACAAACTTCACAACATGTTGAACTAAAAAAAAGCAAGTGGCAAATGATTACCTTCTATGTAATACTACTTAGTATTAAAACATGCTTGTTTACAGATACAAAGCAAATGCAGTAAAACTATGAAGGAATACATAGGAATACCAAATATTAAATATAAATATCAATTTCAAGGCAGTGCTGGAGTGGAGAGAGAAGAAAGGGGAAGGAAGTCATGCGTATTTCCCTCCTCAAATACTTTTGTCATATTTTATTTCTTAGAATTTAGAGCTAAGCACCAAAGGCTAATCTTGTTTTAAACAATCAAGCTAACAATTACCTGAACCTGAAAATGTGAAGCTTCCCCACCCCCACCAATGCCAGTGACTTTAATGATATGGTCAGACCCCAAATGCTGCATTATTAGGTTAAATCATATTTAAACTGCTAAATTGGTTATAGATCAGAAACTCAAATATTAACAATTCCAAAGAGTTCAGCCTAATATTAAAACTCTCTATGAAAAGCAAAAAAAAAAACCCAGTAACTGTTCATATTTTTCCTAAGGATTCACAATAAAGTAGTCTACATTTACCGACAAGACTGCATTTAATGTTACAATATATACACAATACATATTGATAAACACTTAAAAGACACCTGTTGGGCAAAGCAAGTGTTTATACAAATAAAAACTGAAATCCAGAGGAGAATCACCTTGTCCAAGGTTAAACAGGCGGTTAGCAGTCACAACAGAGTTAAAACTAAATCCAGGTCCTGTTCCAAAATTAGTCATAATAAGTTAATCAGAAGCTCAACAAATAAAGAGAAACCTTTTTATTTAGTTCTAATCGAGGATTATGAAATGAATTAATGACAATGATCTGTAGAATTGTCTCTTTTACTTCCTAACAACTTCAATATAAAAAGTTCTAAATCATAGCCCACTGCTATTTTTGTAAGACAAAACTAATTTCCCATAAAAATAATACTCTAGGTAGTTATTAAGCCAATGGAATTTATAAGTTAATTAGAAAACAAAAATCCCTCTATAACAATAACAAAAATACACACTATACATGAAGTCTGTCTCTCAACCCCTTCTGCCTCTTTTCTTAGACTTTTCTAAAAACACTAGTACTTTTTAGAAAAAGGTTTAAATTAGAAAGAATGCTGAAGAAAGAGGCTTGGGGAACATACTGAAGGAGACTTGGAGGCATTATGCAAGGTTTTCAAAGGTAACAGCAATCAATAGGTTTCTTAGAGAATAAAACATCACTCTTAAGAATCACCACAGAACCAAGATAAACAATGCAAGACAGGGAGAGAGATTTTCCTGAAAGACAGCAACTGAAGAGTTGGAAAAGACAAAATGAGAACTAGTGCCGAGAAATTAACATGGACACTGCTTAAGAGGCAGAAGAAACAGTGCAGCACCTCAATGGAACAGTCCACAGGGCAAACTGAAACAGCTCCCGTCCCCAAACGACAAGGTCACTCCCTGTTCAGAGTTAAGTGAGGGAATCCACTGGGGCGGGAGGCGGGGGGCGGGGGGGGACTGGGGGTAGGGGTAGGAGGCAGCATCAGGTCATCTGGGTGATTTTTACATATGTTTAACTCACGATGTCTACTGAAATTTACTTATGCCTACAAGTACTGTCTTAGATGGTCTCATTTTTGCTTTCTTCTGATTAGTAAAGACAAATGACATGCTACCCAAGTCTTTTCAGTTATAAAGGGATCCTGGATAGCTACGATCATCTAATGTTAGATGTTTCTAGCTGGCCTGCTTTCCTAAGCAAGGAAAAGAGCTGCCAGGACACATGCATATTATACCATCAGAGAAGGAGGGGTAGGGGTAGGGACACCAACCTGCCTCTGCATTCAGCTCCTCTAGAAGCCCGCTGGTCCTCCAGGTAGCTCCTGTGTCCTGGCCTCCTACAGAATTACTGTGCTCTTGAACTACTGCAGCCGCCAATAAATTGTCCACATTTACCACTTCTGGCTCAGAGCCGGTGTCAGACATATCATAATGAGCTACAACTGGAGGTCCATCTAGGGAGGAAAGAAAATGTATACTTGTATCTAACTTGTGGGGTGAAAAATACTTCTATAACTAAAAGCCCTCTAAATGCCTGTTGCCTTTATCTTATATATTCTACCTAGTCAGAAAAGCTGCACTTTATACAATCTAATTATTTTGTACAAGAAATGAAACTTAAAGAAATACTCCAGCTTACAAAGATGAGGGACACATTTGAGGAGGAAAAAGGGTGTTATGAAGAACAAAGACAAGACTACACTGAACAAAAGTTACATTCAATTCCTGTCATTCTGCTAAAGGGCAAAAGATTAAGAGAAAGGGGATGACTACAAAGAAGGTAAAGCTGATTTTTTAAAGGAAACACTGATGCAAACTATTAAAACTGAATTTATATTTTTTAAGAGGATCAACCTAGTTTCTTCCTCTTAGTAGCTAATACTAAAAGTCCCTAGGAGAATCAGAGAAGAAAGTCAAATATATATTTTCCTACTTCAAGAGCTCTACTCGACCGACATCTATTTCCAGTAAAGCCCTTTTTATAATATTAGGGATGTTATGTATTTTACAACATTCTACAAAAGATGAGTGTGTATTCAAGTCAGGTCTGACTCTTTGCCAAGTTCCTCTGTCCATGGGATTTTACAGGCAGGAATACTGGGGTGGACTGCCACTTCCTACTCCAGGGGATCTTCCCGACCCAGGGATGGAACCTGAATCTCCTGTACTGCAGGTGGATTCTTTACCACTGAGCCACGTGGGGAAGCCCCCAACAAAAAGATAATACTCATAAAAGCCATCTTCAGGACTTGGCTTTGGATGTCTTGTGAGAGGTATTTCTATTGTCTTTTCCCTGAGAAAAACAACCAGCGGACACTCCAAGGAAGTGATACATAACCTTATGGGTTATTTGAGAGGACGATATTAAAACTCTAGGAAAAATAAGAGAGCCCTTCTACCTCCAAATCACCCTAACTTGCTGAAAAGGGCAGCTGAGCTCTGAAGTAATTACACTGCAGTGATTCATGCTAAAATAATTCAATATTCATGCTTATAAAATAGATACATGCTTTAAAATGCTAGTGCTACCCTTTTCTAATATAAAAGTAAAAAGCAAAAATCGTTTTCAATCAACTATGAAGCATATCCCTTACCACTAACTGCCATTTTTGAATAAAATGCTTTTTCTCCCGCAACAGTTATTAAGTGCAAGCAAATCACTTAATTCCAGGGAAAAAATTTTTAATATCTAATAAATTAACATTAAACACACCTAGTTTATGAAACTCTTGCCTATGAAGGAATACATATGCCAATGAATCATTAAAATAGAACACAATGAAGGATTACTGTTTTAATACAAACATCCATTGTGTAAACTGTGACTAAACAAAACATGAAACACATTTGGGGTACTTATCTCTTAAGACTAAGTTCCCAAACCATAGGCTTATGCGGCAACGTTTTTAAAATTAAAAATGACCAAACATAAAAGTAAATGAGTTGTTAGGTGCCACTGTATAAGGAACAGACATGTCACAATATGAAATTCTGACGATCATGACAATTTCCGCTGACTACTTAAAAATAATTTCCAATTTCCCCAAAAGGGTACATCAAGTTCATAAAATTCAACAGTGTGGCCTCAGTATCATTTAGCAATGGATTTTAGACCAAACAGCAAAATACTGGTTCATGTTTGCAGTTTTTCTTTTCAAAAAAGAAAAGAAAGCTGTATAATTTATGGAGTTCTCGTCAGAGTTCAAAATGATTATTATGGAATCAAGATAATGTGTGATGTCCAAATATTTGGTTACAGAAGATAAGAAGGTCAAGTACAATATTGACTATTTGACCAAATATTCTATTTTTCAAATGGCTTTATTAAGTGTTTTGCATTTGGAAAAAAATAAAAGAGATTTATTTAAAAATCTGTATCACAAATACCATTCACAACTTCTTGCCCTCACATTCCCCCACCCCACAACCACCAAATCGAGGCAACAGGTCAACAGTCAAGTCAAAATTGTACCACTCCTACATGTAAAATCATGCAAAAAGTATAAGTGTAGATGTACATGCATAGTAACGTCACCTACCCATGGAAATAACTTGTCTGAAAGTCTTCATCAGTAGGATATACAAGCATAAACTTGTTATCTGGCTTCATTCTTGTATCTTCCATATTTCCAAACAGCACACCTTATAGCTTAGCTTAAATTTAGTATTCATCATAAACAAAGACAGTAATATTTTCACATTTTAATTATACTTAAAATTAAAATAAATTATCACTGTCATTTTTCATATCTAGTATATTCAAACAATGACAAGTCAGTACTATATGAACTTTAATAAAGTCAAGGAAAGGCTGTCTTTCCAAGTTTGCCTTCCAACAAGAAATCACAATTAAGCATCCTGTATCCCAAGGTCATCTCACACTGTCAGCAAACCAAAATTAAGTAAGATATGTTTAAAGAACTAAGCATCAAGGCTTGGATTTTGAACCACGAAGTATGTATATTAGCTAACTGATGGGGACAATATATGGTATTCTTTTAAAGTGTGATTCCTGCTACACAGCAAAATTAAGAGACAGGTAAGATCCTTTTAAAATAAGTATCTCTTGAAAGAAAAAATCAAACCACTAAGAGGAGCTAGAAAAACCAGGAACATTAATAACAGAAGCAGCTATCTATGCTTCCAATTTGATTCTATTGACTTATTACAGGAGGGAATAAGCATGAAGCTATTTTTCTTCCTCTGACTTGATTGTTTCTCTAGGATGCTAAAACAATTGTGCCACTACTAAGATAATTTTGACTTTTAAAAACATCAAAATCGCAATTTCAAGTAAAATTACACATGGAAACATTTCCAATTTAAAGTGCAGTCACTAAGCATTCCATGTTTGCAACATAAAAGGTTATTCAAACTGCACGTTCTCCCACTTGGTATCTGTCAACCGTACACCATCAGTTTATAATGATGAACTCTGTTTTTCTATAGTCATTAAAAGCATCTCTCTATAAAGGTAAATTTAACTCAATTATTTAATAACTATTTGGTCTGTGGTTAATCCAAGTGCTGTATCTGATTTAAGTATCTTGAAATTTTTGCTGATCACAAAAAAAAATAAAATGTTCAGCAATCCACTGCTTCATTTAAGAACATCAAATTGGTCTATCTTGTGCTAGACAGGTCTGTATACTCTCTCTGACCTCCTAGCTTATAAATAGGTTGTAACTTTTCGAATACCAAAATACAGATATGGGACTTCCCAAAAGGTCCAGTGGTTAAGACTCTGCGCTTCCACTGCTCGGGGTGCAGGTTTGATCCTGGTCAGGGAACTAAGATCCAGCTTGCCACACAGTTCGGTCAAAAAAGAAAATCGAAACAAAACACACAGATCTATCTATTCATCACACATTCCTACTACAGTGAAGTTTAACCCTGTGTGACTTTAAACCTTCTGTATTATCATCAACAGTGTTTAATTTTATGAATTAGTCTTCTTTTTAGTCAAATGTGTTTTCTTCTAAATCTCATGGAAACAATTTGAATCACAAAAACAAAGCAAAACAAAGCCTATTACCTAACATCTATTACCTATTACATTACATCTATTACCTAACTATTACATTACAATCTATCTATTACATCTACCTCTGACAAATCCCTCTTTCCAAAGCTGACAATCAAAAGTACAGAATTTTAAAACTATGTAATACATAAGTTACCAGTCCCATTTTACAGATGAGAAATTTTGAGTCCTAGGTAGGTGAAACCAGCATAGTTTACAGTTGTTCTCAATGGTAAGGGAATGGGACATACACAGGATAAGACTGGGAGCAGTATGTGAAGTGCATAGATTTTGGGCAGTAAATACATAGGTTAAAATCCTGCCTACTTCTTCTTAACCTATGACTCAGCTTGTTTACAGGGTTATGATGAAGGTTAAAATATAACACAGGACACAATAGTTCAAATACTGGTCCACCTGTCCACCTTTCCATTATAATTAGCACTTAACCTTACTTCTTTGTTTGCTTATGTTTGTGTAAACTCTGCTGTACACAGCCTGCACGCTCTTAGCTTTGAGAAAATATCACTGCCTGAGTTGGTGCCTTCTACTGGTCATGGATTAACCCAACTTGTTAAGCAAATGCTTTGTTGGGATTAATAAGGTCATCACATATGTGGCTTTTGTATTTTTATTTTTGTTTGAAGTGAAATGTTAGCTTAGATGTATTCATGTCACTTTGGATTATGCCATATTTGGCATCATTCTTGCCTACAGAGCCCTTCCACTAACACAAGTGTTGTTAGTCTCCCAGTATGAAATCCAAGCAGATCTGGGAATCAGAAATTCCTCTTATATCCCAGAGACATCTGGAAACGTCACTCCTCCTTCTCTATTGCTAAATCTTCAGCCCAAGGAAAGGTGGATCAATAGAGAAACAGCGTTTATTCATTCAATTCCCATTTCAACGACTAGAGTAATGTACAATAAAGACCAGAATAAATTCCTTCTCTATGCTTTACTACAGCCAATTTCCCAAAACCCCTCATAGAAGAGGAAAGAAAAAAACTTTCTTGCTGCTGTCAAAGGACCCCACAGAAGTTCTGCTCCCTAGGCATTAAAGGTCCTAAGCTCAGTGCCATTATCTACAACATCTAGAGAAAGTGGTAGGGGGTGGAAGTCACCCAGTCCCACTCCAATAGTGAGGCTCAAAAAAGGTTACACCTAAAAGAAGAGTTCTCAGAAATTACCTAGCCAAGCACTTTAGGAAGGAGGAGCATGTGTATGGTGGCCAAGTTAGGAAAAGAAGTGTAGGGAAAATGAGGTGTGAGCCTTAGGGGCTGAAAGAAAAGAGCAAACCTCAAGAGCTGGAAGGGAATTTGCAGTTGGCAGAACCTACCTAATAAAAACCAGCTTTTTAATTACACATCTAAATATTTACCAAGATGGAAAATGATTATTTGGAATAAGAAAAAATAAAATACTTAAGAA